CCGCTACTATGCATGCCCTGCCACCGCAGAAATAGGGCACAGCAGTGACACCGACCTGGCGAAGAAGGCGAAGGACGCGCTGGACCAGCGGCAGGACCTCCATTTCTGGCTCCGAGGCATCCCGCCAGCGGCCTGGGCAGCCAAGGTCGACCCAGACGAGGACGCGGCGAAGGCGGCGCAGATCTTCTGCACCAGCGAAGAGGCACAAGCTGCAGCCCAGTCAGGGCACAAGGTACGAGCAGACTATGTTTTTACGGACGGCTCAGGTGGTGCAGGGGAAACGGCCAGGGACCCCCGCCTCAGAGGCTGCGGCTGGGCAGTGGTGGCATTCAGGTTTGACGAACAAGGGCGTCCGCAGGAAGTGGCTGCCTGGTACGGCACAATCAGGGCACCGCACACGGTGCCACGGGCAGAGCTCACCGCCATGAGCAAAGCCACCGGGTACACCACGGCGGCGACAGCCAGGGGGCTCAACATAGTCAGCGATTGCAAATTCGCCCTGGACGCACTCAAGCAGATCCAGGACCCTGAGGACCTGGACTACAGGAGCACGAACTACGACCTCTGGCTCCAGACGAAGCAGCAGCTACAGAACAGCACGGACACCATCATGGGCCACCACATCCCGAGCCACCTGATTGAGCACCCAACCGAGCTGGAGAGGTGGAATGGTCCCACCTGGTGGGTCATAGGTAACGAGATGGCAGATAAGTACGCAGGCTGGGGGGCGGAGCACGGAGCACTGGATCCAGCTATCATCGTGCAGCAGCAGATCAGAGACCAGATCACCATGGCGGTGCAGAACCGACTGCTGGCCATCAACATGGCGGCGACGGTGGAGGACCCCAACAAGGCCCCTCAGCGTCCCAAGGCCAAGCGGCGAAAGCCGCAGACGGCGAGGGACAGGGCAGCCCAGCAGGGACACGACCTGCGAAAACTACATCCGCGATGGTGGTGTGCAACGTGCCGCAGTGGCCCAGCCAAAGGACAAAGCATCAGGGACTGGTTGGCAGAGACGGGAAAATGCCTCGGGAAGTACGGCGGCCACCAGGACCAGCACGGCAACGTCAGGCTCGACTTCAAGGCGGTGCAGATCGGCACGCAGGTGGTGCACGGCTCCCACAAGACGCAATGCACCCAAGGCTGGCTCTGGCGCGAGAAATGTGGCGGCACCAGCTACCTTGGGGACCACAAGAGCAGGATCGTGGCAGGAGTGGCAAGGAAGCTGGCAAGGCCATGTCAGCCCCCAACAGCAGCAGGGCGGCGAGTCTTGGAGGACATGCAGAGGGGCAAGCTGCCTAGAGGAGCTAAGCCAGCAGCAGACCCAGCTGATGAGGGTCTCGACGAGATCACCATGCCAGGTGACTTCAAGCTCGGCCCGAGTAACCACGAGGTGATCGATCTGGACGGGGACAGCTCAGAGGCAGGGGACCCGCAGCCAGCTCCGCAGCAGCCACCCAGCCATCCGTACTCTGTCGTCCACGCCAGCCTGAGGCTCGTCGACCACATGGAGGGCTACGCAGAGCTGTGGATGAACATGGTCGACCAAGAGGTCTGGGACGATATGGACGACTGGATGGAGCACTGCGTACCGTACCTCCTGGCCATCACCAATGTGGGTGGCAGAACGGACACGCAAGAGCAGACCAGGGCCGTCACCGTGCAGGAGATCCAGCAGATAAAGGACTTCTGCGAAGAAGTCTGGCGCAACACGCACCGCACGCGTCGGAGGCTCATGACCAGGATGCTTACCCTCCCGTATGGCACATGGCAGCAGGCAGCTAGAGTGCACATGGACGCCTTCCACAACAGAAGGAACAACATCATAGCGCACAGCATCCCCAGCAGAGAGCGCAGGCCGCTGCCGAGAACAGCGGAGGTCAGCCGAGAGTGGTCACCAGAGAACCTGGACGATGATGACTCGACCCCAGACAGTGAAGCCCCAGAGCTGGAGGGTGAGCCGAGCAGCCAGGAGATGGAGACCATGGCGGGACCTGATCAGAGGCACGACGCCAACAGCCTGATGCAGACGGCAGTGCAGGTGGCAGTAACGCTGACCAAGCCAGTGGGGCCCGACCTGATGAAGTTCGTGAGCGAAGCCGACGAGGCCGGCCTGCTCCACCCAAGGCTTCGACACAACAAAGGAGAAGCTGACCAGGACCCCGAGCAGGAGGTGGCGTGGCTCGAGAGGAACAGGCTCGAGCAGCTCATGCAGTCGCTGGCAGGCTGTTGGAGCCAGAAGGAGGGCGAGCTGGGCTGGCCATCGTGGCAGGCCGCGGGCGTGCCCCATGTGCTGAGGGCGCTGCAGACTGGCGTCTATCAGAGGCTTTTCAGCCACGTGTCTGGGACGAGCCGCCAGCGCAGCCAGCGCCGAGCGGCGGAGGAGATCTGCCGCCTGGCATGGCTCAACAGCGGATGAGGAGCGCAGACAGATCCAGCAGCAGGACCCGAAGGAGGCAGAGCGGCGCAGAGCAACGGCTGAGCAGATCCCGGGCGTGACTGAGCCAGAGGTGAGGAGCCGCAGCCCGCGACCGCAAGCAGCAGGGCGAGCACCAAGCAGGGCTCCAGCCAGACAGCCGAGGAGGCCCCTGTGCGGAGAGGGGACAGGCCACCATGGACCCCTGCGCGGCGAGGGGTTAGGCCGAGGAGGACCCCAGCGTGGCGAGGGGTTAGGCCACAGCCCTGCGCCAGACGGGATGCAGAGGGGTGCCCGTCCCCCACCAGCGGGACGCAGTACCAAGGGCATGGCAGACCTCGACCACTTCACTGAAGAGGAGAACAGAGAGGACAGCCCCCAGCAGGCCGTAGACAAGCAAAGCAGCGATGACAACCACCAGCAGTTCCCAGATGTACAGCACAGCATAGGGTACCACCTGGCAGACCGCAGAGGACCCCAGCGTGGCGAGGGGTCAGGCCACGGAGGACCCCAGCGCGGTGAGGGGTTAGACCGCAGATCCAAAGGCAAGCAGAGGATCGAGGCGGAGGTCCCTGACGAGCCCAGTGAGCATGACGCGGACGTTTTGACCAACAGTGTGGTAGACAGGACCTCGCAACTAACAGAGCAGACCCATACCCTGGGAAGCCGACAGACTGAACGCGAGGGGGAGGGCTTGGCCCGCGGATACCACGTGAACCGCGAACACAGCGAGTGGCATAGTCGGGGGACCTCGCCTGAGCCAGTGTGCAGCAGCACCGAGGATGGGGACAGTGCGAGACTCGGCGCTCCCCCGCGTGGCGAGGGGTTAGGCCACAAAACAGCGCAGCCTGAGAAGGCGGCAGACTACGACGATACAGACCTGCAGCGGGACTTGAACAAGATCGTCGGCGACCCACCCCAGCGCGGTGAGGGGGTAGACCGCAAGGCACCCCTGCGTGGCGAGGGGTTAGGCCACGGAAATCCCCTGCGCGGTGAGGGGGTAGACCGCAGGATCAAAGGCAAGCAGAGGCTTGAGGCGGAAGCCTGTGACGTGCCCAGTGAGCAAAACGCGGACCTTTTGACCAACAGTGTGGTAGACAGGACCTTGCAACTAACAGAGCGGACCCAAACCCTGGGAAACCGACAGACTGAACGAGAGGGGGAGGGCGCGGCCCGCGGATACCACGTGAACCGCGAACACAGCGAGTGGCAAAGTCGTGGGACCCCGCCCGAGCCAGGGGGCAGCAGCACCGAGGACGGGGACAGTGCGAGACGCGGCGTACCCCCGCGCGGTGAGGGGTTAGACCGCAGCAGGCCCCAGCGTGGCGAGGGGTTAGGCCACGGAGTACCCCAGCGCGGTGAAGGGGTTAGACCGCAACGACCCCCAGCGTGGCGAGGGGTTAGGCCACGGAGGACCCCACAGTGGAGAGGGGTCAGACAGCAGCAGGCCCCCGCGTGGCGAGGGGTTAGGCCACAAGGGACCCCAGCGCGGTGAGGGGTTAGACCGCAACAGGCCCCTGCGTGGCGAGGGGTTAGGCCACGAAGCACCCCAGCGCGGTGAGGGGTTAGACCGCAGCAGCCCCCAGCGTGGCGAGGGGTTAGGCCACGATATTCCCCAGCGCGGTGAGGGGTTAGACCGCATTGACCCCCAGTGTGGCGAGGGGTCAAGCCACGATGGGCCCCAGCGCGGTGAGGGGTTAGACCGCAACAGACCCCAGCGTGGCGAGGGGTTAGGCCACCACGGAGCACCCCAGCGCGGTGAGGGGTTAGACCGCAACAGGCCCCTGCGTGGCGAGGGGTTAGGCCACGGAGCACCCCAGCGCGGTGAGGGGTTAGACCGCAGCAGCCCCCAGCGTGGCGAGGGGTTAGGCCACGAGTTTCCCCAGCGCGGTGAGGGGTTAGACCGCACCGACCCCCAGCGTGGCGAGGGGTTAGGCCACGGAGGACCCCTGCGCGGTGAGGGGTTAGGCCGCAACGCGCCCCAGCGTGGCGAGGGGTTAGGCCACAGCTCTGCGCCAGGCAGGGCGGTCGAGAAGGCCCATGAGTCCAGGGACCAGCAGCCAGGGCGGTCCCTGGAAGAGCGCAGAGCGGAGGAGCGGCTGCGGCCGTCCAGCAGGCTGCTCCTCAAGCTCTGAGTGGGCAGCGGCAGCATTTCTTCAGACTGCCGCTGCTCACGGGGCGACTCCATGAGTCACAGAGTGGCGGCAGTAAGACGCCGTGAGATGAGGCCGCTGGCCCACCCCGCCTCGGGCCGTTCTGCCTGCGCGGAGTGACGAGACCAGGGGCACCCACTCACGGGCGGGAACACGCGGGTTTAAAACTCCTGCTCCTGCTCCTCCTCCTCCTCCTCCTCCTCCTCCTCCTCCTCCTCCTCCTCCTCCTCCTCCCCCTCCTCCTCCTCCTCCCCCTCGGCCCCTCTCTCGGACACCAAGGTCCACTCTTCGCCACGCGCGACGCGCGAAGAACGGTTATGTGTGCACTCTCGCGCCTCAGCCCTCGAGAAGAACGCCCATCCCCCCAGGATCAGACCGCGAAGCGCGGAGCGCGGTTAGCATCGCGCACCTGCGAGTGACCCGGTTTCTACTCATCCCTCATTTCCTGCCTCCGCGTCCTGGATGTCCGCGCTCCCGATGCCGCTGTGTATCAACGACCTGTGAAGGCAATACTCCTGCAGCTCAAGCGGCGACGACTCCGACGCCAGCTCGACGGGAGTCAGCACTCGGTAGACCCCAGCGTACTTGTGAACCAGCCAGCGCTCGGTGTCTGTGTTCCACCACAGATCTCGTGGGCCGTCTGCAGACATTACCCAAAAGATCCATACAACGAGCATCGCGGTTGCGCACATGCCGTAGCAGATTGCTGTCGCCAGATAAAAGTGCGGCAAGCCCACGGCGGACCCACTGCACTGGACGCGCTTGACGGCGAGAAGGCACACCGTGGCAACCATGCACATCAATAGTGGCGCCCATGGGCATTTCACGGATTTGAGTGTCAAGCCAGTGAAGACTAGAACTACGAGGATCACGATGCTGAGAAAGCGGACGACCGCCTTTACCCAATGTTCCCACATGGCGGCGTCGAACATGTCGAAAACAAACAGAACCGTCAACCAGCAAGCCGATACGATCGCCATACAGTTGCCGAGTAGGTTCGAACCAGAGCTCGTGATGCCGTCGTAGATGTCTGGCCCTAGCCCCACGGGCGAGTAAACGAACACCGCGATGAGGTCGGGAACCAGCACGGCGAAGAACATGACGCAGTAGTACGGGGCAAATCTCAGAACGGACCTCACTCTTTCTCCTCTCCCTTCCCCCTCCTCCTCCTTGTCCTCCTCCTCCTCCTCTTCGTTGGTCTTCGCTCGCCTCCTCCTCCTCCTCCTGCTCCTCCTCCTCCTCCTCCTCCTCTTCCTCCTCGTCCTCCTCCTCCTCCCCCTCCTCCTCCTCCTCCTCCTCCTCCAGAGCCCAAGTGAGGGTTGGCACCACAGCGCGGGCACTCACTCCCCACACGTGGCCGCCAAACTTAACACGCGGATGCGAGTTGATACACCTGGATGATGCAATTAACCCTCACTGGCTGATTTCCCAAGCCTGGTAGCATCCCCCCTCCGCCCGAGGAGGACTACGATACGAACCACTCACACACCGTGGCTGTTTTCGCCAACCTCATTCCTACTCGCATCCTTACCATCGTCATCGCTCTCATCCGCACCCTCCTCTGAACGTTCTCTCCTTCTCAACCTCTACGACTCGCGCTGGCCCCATATGGCACCGTAGGCTCCCAGCTGGCCTCCAAACAGCTAAATACTTGATTCAAGACTGGCCAAAACCACCCCAAGACGGCCCGAAGACTCACCCACGCGGCGCACACACGCTCCGACACGTCTCCAAGACCCCGAAGTGACGCAAAGACCAAAGAGGCCCCACGAGAACCCCAACAGAGCATCAGTGCCCCAATTACACCCTGCACGATCCCGCGAGGGCCACAAGTCATGCCCACACGTTCGATCACACCCGTGTCAAGGCCAAGCCCCCAACACGCACTGATTGGGAGATTTGTCTGCCAATCTTCCCCTGTTGGGTTGTCCTCGTGCCGATCGTTCACTTCTTCCTATGTACTCCCCTTCCCCTCTAGAATTTGGGATGCTAGCTTTTACCGTTCCTCGCCTCCCTCACCTCACCCGCTTGCGTGCCTCCTGCTCCTCCTCCTCCCGGGCTGTATCTTGTTGTGCTCTCCATTCCAACCCAAAAGCCACCCTTCACCGAAGCTGCCGCCCAGCCAAATGAGCCCCACAGCCCTCGGCTCCACACCGAACGCAGCCACTGGAGTTCTAACCTAAACCTGGCGACCCCCATGGACTTCTCACCTCACCTGAGGGTCGGCGGTGGGGCGTAGGTCGGCGGCGTGCCCGGGGAACAAGTCACAGTCGGGGCGTTGACCTAAGGAACCCTAAATAAGGAACGAGGCCCCTTTTTTCCATAAGTTAAGCTTCGATTTCCTATCGAAAACATAAGGAAAACCTGAGGCAAGCTGTGAAACACTTAAGGAGCGCGGAGCCCCTCCCCAACCAAAAGGGTTCCTTCTTCAGGGCCCCGACTGTACAGGGAACGGGCCTTCTCAGAAGGCTCGGAAGGCCTCCAGCCTTCTGGAAAGTTTCCCACGCCTCCTCCGAAGACAAAGCGTGCGTCTCAGAAGGCCAGCGGGCTTCTGAGAGGGCCTGCCGCCTTCCGAGAAGGCCTGGTCTCTCTCACCTCCCCCCGGGCACGCCGCCCGGCAGGTCACTTGAACATGCCAGGAAGCCCAGTTCGAGTGCCCGCTCGCCCACGGCGCACATCGCGCCGCCGGCAGTGCCGCCAGTGGGCTCGCGGGGAAGCACACTCCGGGCGTGCCTTCAGGCTTGCAGTGCGCATCGCGCGGCCGTCGCCGCTCCGCAGCGAGGCTTGCCTAAAGAGCCCTGACTGCATGCCCGAATGCCTCCCAGACTGCAGGTGCTCCGGGGAGGCAGCGCTCCTGTGTCTCTCCCGCGAGCCTCCCGCGGGCTCTCCCGTGAGCCTCTGGTGGGCTGCCCGTGCCCGCCCGCCTGCTTGCGGCGCACATCGCGTCGCCAGCGCTGCTGCCAAGAGAACCTCCCCATGATGCTCGCTCCGAGCGTGCCCGCTGGCTCCCAGCAGCCATCGCGCTGCCAGTGCTGCTGCCAGAGAGAATGCCGGAAGCTCGTGCCCACTCGCTCCCGACGCACATCGGGTCGCCAGCGCTGTCGCCAAGAAGCTCGCCCGGAAGCTCACTCCGAGCGTGCCGGCGCGCTTACAGCACGCATCGCATTGGCGCCGCTGTTCTCCGGCTAGGCTTCCATGGAAGGTTTCTGTCTTCTGATCAGTACCTCCCATACTACAGGTGCCCTGGGGCGGAGCCCCTCTCGTGTCCCTCCCATGAGCCTCTAGTGGGCTTCCCGTGCATGCCCGCATGCTTGCGGCTCACATCGCGTGACCAGCGAAGCTACCAGGAAGCTCACTCACAGCATGCCCGCTCGCTCACTCGGCATGTCGCGCGGCCAGCGCTGTTACCAAAAAGCTCACTCAAACCGTCCCCGCTCGCTCACACGGCAAATCGCGAGGCTAGCGCTGCAACCAGGAGGCTTACTCCAAGCGTGCCCGCTCGCTCACACGGCAAACCGCTTGGCCAGCGCTGTTTTGCCACAGCGCTGCTGCCAGGAAGCATGCCAGGACGAGGCCGCTGCCGGCTCTGTGGGCCAAATTGTGGGCCGGGCACCCTGGCCTTTGGAAAATGGCAACCTTCACGAGGATGGCGCCCAGAGGGTGCCTGTCCCACCGCGCGACCCACGCGCGACCCCCCCCCCGGACTCACCTGCGACCCTGCCGCGCCGACACCCGCGGCCGACCCTCGACCCACCAGCGAAACACCCGCGAATCGCCCCGCGACTCCCGCAGCCACGACCCGCGCCCACGAACCACCACCTGCGACCCACCACCTGACGATCTACCAGGCCACCCCAACCTGACCCGAAGAAACAAAATTTTGGGTTGGGGGGCACGGATGCCACAGGCGTTTTTGTTCCCCAAACAGCTTGCTGAACGGGGTGCTGTTGTGATAGAAGCTAACTCCGGCCGAGGGAAAGCTAAGCAGAGACATCCTCAAACAAATGTGGTGGTCCGGCCCGTTTCGCCTGAGACATCCTCACAACTCTCGTTTCTGAGTTGTCCGGGATTGAGCGTTTCGCCTGAGACATCCTCGAAAAGCTGCGCTCCGGGACGCCGCGCGAGAGGTGGTCCGGGCCGTTTCGCTTGAGACATCCTCGAAACTCTGAGCCCCGAGGTGCCGTGCGAGAGGTGGTCCGGGCCGTTTCGCCTCAGACATCCTCGAAACTCTGAGCTCTGCGATGCCTTGCGCGAGGTGGTCCGGCCCGTTTCGCCTGAGACATCCCCGAAACTCTGACCTCGGAGATGCCGCGCGAGAGGTGGTCCGGCCCGTTTCGCCTGAGACATTCTCGAACTTCTGAGCTCTGAGATGCCCTGCGCGAGGTGGTCCGGCCTGTCTCGCCTGAGACATCCTTGCAACTCTGAGCTCTGAGATGCCGTGCGCAAGGTGGTCCGGCCTGTTTCGCACAAGACATTCTGGCAACTCTGAGCTCCCAGATGCCGCGCAAGAGGTGGTCCAGCCTGGGGGCCCAGAAGACCACATGTTACATATCCTCCCTGGGACCCTGAGAGCCCCAGGAGGCCCCAGAGAGCTCCAGGAGGCCGCAGGACGCCCAGGACAGGCCCCAGGGGTCCCCAGGAGATTCCCAGGAGGCTCCCAGGAGGCCCCAGGAGGCCCTCTATCAGAACGTGTCAAGTTGATACACATCTGGTGTCGATTCTTTGATTTTTCCTGCTCTTGTGCCCCCCCCCGCCATTTTGAGGAGCCCAAGCGGCCACAGGTTAGGTATCCCCCCTGGGAGCCCCAAGAGGCTTCAGGAAGCCCCAGGTGGAGTCCAGGAGGCCACAGGAGGCCCAGGAGGAAGCCCCAGGAAGTCACCAGGAGGTCCCAGGAGGCACCAGGAGGCCCCCGCAACTCGGAGCTCTGAGACGCCGCGCTCGAGGTGGTCCAGCTCGTTTCGCCTGAGACTTCCTCGCAGCACGTTTCGCCCGAGACACCCGCCCGTTTCGCCTGAGACATCCTCGCAACTCTGAGCTCTGAGATGCCGTGCGCAAGTTGGTCCGGCCTGTTTCGCACAAGACATTCTTGCAACTCTGAACTCCCAGATGCCGCGCAAGAGGTGGTCCAGCCTGGGGGCCCAGAAGACCACATGTTACATATCCCCCCTGGGACCCTGGGAGCCCCAGGAGGCGCCAGAGAGCTTCACGAAGCCGCAGGACGCCCAGGACAGGGCCCAGGGGTCCGCAGGAGGCTCCCAGGAGGCCCCAGGAGGCCCCCTATCAGAAAGTGTCAAGTTAATACATATCCGATGTCGATTCGTTGATTTTGCTTGCTCTTGTGGCCCCCCCCCCATTTTGGGGGGCCCCGACGGCCACATGTTAGATATCCCCCCTGGGAGCTCCAAGAGGCTTCAGGAAGCCCCAGGTGGGGTCCAGGAGGCCACAGGAGGCCCAGGAGGAAGAAGCCCCAGGAAGTCACCAGGAGGTCCCAGGAGGCCCCAGGAGGCCCCCGCAACTCGGAGCTCTGAGACGCCGCGCTCGAGGTGGTTCGGCCCGTTTCGCCTGAAACTTCCTCGCAGCACGTTTCGCCCGAGACATCGTCGCAACTCTGGGGTCCGAGATGCCGCGCGCGAGGTGGTCCAGCCCGTTACGCCTGAGATATCCTCGCAACTCTGGGCTCCGAGATGCCCTGCGCGAGGTGGTCCGGCCCATCTCGCCTGAGACATCCTCGCAACTCTGAGCTCTGAGATGCCGTGCGCAAGGTGGTCCGGCCCGTTTCGCACAAGACATTCTCGCAACTCTGAGCTCTCAGATGCTGCGCAAGAGGTGGTCCAGCCTGGGGGCCCAGAAGACCACATGTTACATATCCCCCCTGGGACCCTGGGAGCCCCAGGAGGCCCCAGAGAGCTTCAGGAGGCCGCAGGACGCCCAGGACAGGCCCCAGGGGTCCGCAGGAGATTCCCAGGAGGCTCCCAGGAGGCCCCAGGAGGCCCCCATATCAGAAAGTGTCAAGTTAATACATATATATATATATATATATATAATATACATATCCGATGTCGATTCGTTGATTTTGCTTGCTCTTGTGGCCCCCCCCCATTTTGGGGGGCCCCGACGGCCACATGTTAGATATC